TGATATCTCATTGTAGTTTTGATTTGCATTTCTCTGATAATTAGTGATATTGAGCATTTTTTCATGTGCCTTTTTATCATTTGAGAGCCTGAGCTCTTCATAACCAAGCTAATAATTAAATGGATGAACGCTTAGGCTAATGCCAACATATAAAACAAATGAAAACAAAGCTGTTCTGCTGAAAAGCAAAGCTGAGGCATTCCTAAAGAATTTTAGGAGCCTTATGAACACAGTTAAAAAAAAACACCAATGCTATAGGGGGAGGGGTCTTCCCTTACACAAGTAAGAAAGTTACTCACAAATATCAGTATCTACGTCTTGCTCCAGCCTTGCCAAACTATGAAGTATGCAAAGTTTTTACAGAAAGTAAAGATCTCAGGATTAACGTTGAAACTCAGAAAATCTGACAAAAGTAAGATTAAAGGGGGCATTAGTTACAGACAAAATTATAATATTAATACTACTTCCAAAGCACATTATTGTTTAAGTTACTTTTCTCATATTTGATATTTATTTATTATTAGTTTACAATATTGTGTTAATTTCTAGTGTACAGCATAGTGATTCAGAAATAGATAGATTAGATAGATAGATAGATAGATAGATAGATAGATAGATAGACAGACAGACAGATAAAGACAGAGATACATTCCTTTTCATATTCTTTTTCATTATAGGCTATTAGATGGTACTGAATATGGTTCCCTGTGCTATATAGTAGGACCTTGCTGTTTATCTATTTTATAAATATTAGTATCTGCAAATCCCAAACTCTCTTTTTTTTCTCAGTTGACCTGAGAAACTTAATTTCATAATACAGTTTCTATGGTAAAGCACATTTCCAAAATTACCAAAAAACTTGTACAATACATTAGGTTTAAAATTTAGAACTTTCTTACACATTAAAATGAGAAATAAAGTTATACATTGCTTCTCTAACATACAAAAACTCTGATATAAAAAACATCAATAAACAATTCAGGGCCTAAAAATTAAACACTACAAATTTCTAATTTGAGTAATTTTAAATAATGATACAAAATTAAAATTCTGTGGAGAGACATATTTAGCCAAAT